TTTTCCCCTGAATTTCTTTTTCTCCACAGCCCATGTTTGAACATCAACTTTTGGGGGGTGGCTTTTCCTGCCATTCCAAATCCAGTTTTTGGAGAGTTAATCTGCTGACAAAGAGACAATCCCGTTGTCCCTTCACATACTTACTTTCCAAAATTCTGTTATGTTGGACGAAAAAAAGGAAGAACAGCCTTTCTTAGCCTTCTCCAAAACTCACTCCCGAAATATAAAGATAGCAGCTGAATCTTGAAATAGTAATTGGCAAAGAGGCATGGACATTATGTCGATGGAGATTCTCAGTCATTCAGGTCATGGTTGTCCCAAAAGGGTTTTTTGGGGAGGCAACTGGACTTTCTTGTTTTCCTTTGAAGATGTTTCGCTTCTTGGATGAGAAGCGAAACGTCTTCAAAGAAAAACGAGGAAGTCCAGTTGCCCCCCGAAAAAGCACCTTTGGGCAGGGACATTATGTAGTAATCCTAAAACCCACCCAGATGATTGTATGGCACAGATCAGCCTGCTGACTGCACCCAACTTCAGGGACTTGCCTGGCTTTTAGTTGCAGTCACCCATTGCCTGTCTTACTCTCTTTCTTTGCTAATCCTTTTTCAATGGTTGAATAGTGAAAAAAGTCAACACTTACTTACTCTACCTAATTTTGTGTGTGTGTGCGTGCGCACGTGCACCTCCCAGTCAGTGTCAACTCCTGGTGACTGCCTGAAGAAGCTTTGCAGTTTTCTTGGCAAGATTTCCGAAGTCGTTTGCCATTGCTTCCTTCCTACAGCTGAGAAATAGTGACTACTCTTTGTGCCCAAGGTGGGACTAGAACTCACATTCTCCTGGTTTCTAGCTTGGTGTATAGCCACCATACAGAACTGGCTCACTCTATAATAATGCCCAATTAATCTAAATTTCTTTATATAAAAACAATCTGGGTCACTTCCAACTTCCAATTTACTTGCCTTTTCACCAACCTTTGCTATGTTAGTCCATAACGTCACAGAAGTAGAAGGGTGAACGGTGATTCTAAGCAATCCAAAGGGAAAATGGAGCATAAGTACAAGACAATGAATAAAAATGAAAATCAAATATCCTTTTTATTAAATCAACTACAGCTTGAGTTGAAAATATCCACACTATGGCAAGACACAAATGCGTACAAGGTAATGAAACAAAATAGCAGCCTTTAATTGCCACTGATAAAAACTGATTTTTATGTGATGTCACATATTTCATGTTTCCATTTCATACTTACCACGCTTTATACCAGGTGGCAATTCCAGGCACGCTGTTGTTAACTTCTGAAATAACATTGCTTTTTCATAGATGATATCTTGGCTCCAATGATATTTAAAAAAAACCCGAGGTGCTTTTTTATTTCTTTAAAAAAAATGGGCCCATCAAGCTAGAGAAATTCCTTCTTTTTAATAATCTTAATACAGTATAATAGACTTTAAAAATCAAGTACATTTAAATTCTGGTTAGAGTTAATGTTAAATCTCCACAGTTGGAAGTGGTGATATTATGGGGCTTCAGTGCTAATGTTACGATTTCTGAGTCAAGATACACAGTTTTAATTTAGCATTAATTTAGCATGCCAACTTTGATGTTCTGAAATTTTTTTTAAAAAAGTAATTTCTTACAGATTGATGAATGGTTATCTTTTAAAATTGCAAGTAATTTAATTGCAAGGTACAAGGCCAAAACAAGCTAAATAATGTTTTAGAAGGTCCAGTCCCTTGCAGGTTTACTTATTTGTACGCCATTCGAAGTACTTCATAGCAAAGGTAAAATGAGCAAGACTGCAGCCTTATTAGTAGCTACTGCTACTGGTGCTCCATCTGTTGAGATAGCAGAGGGAAGACGGTTACCTCCTGCTAAACAGCATCATCCAAGATAAATGATGGATTCATTAGAATGCCCCAGCTGCCAAGGTGCTGGTACATTCCTTCTGCTGTAGTTCTTGCCCCTTTTTATACCAACTTCCACAGTTTTGTGCCAGATTCCTGACCTAAAATGAAGTCTGCTTCTTTGGCAAATGACAATGGCATCTAGCATTGTGCAAAATGTGCCTTATTCATCCTGGATTCTGACGACTGGCTAAACTTGCAATTATATGTGTGCCTGCTAGGAAAAAAGCCTCAAAGACTTAATTTTGAAAAAATAGGGAGATGACCGGCCTGCAGGATGCACATCTGAAATATTACAGAATATGTCAAATTCTTGCTGTTGTAAATAAACTGGGAGAGGGAGACTAACCCACCATGTTCTGATATGCATTGTAAATTAGTATCGCCTATTCATATGCATCATATTTCATATGCGTCATGGTGGTATCTGGTTCCTTGTCTTTCAGATTTGCATGCATTTTCATTTGAGCACTTGATTTGCCATGTAAATACCATGGAGATAAAACCACTATAAAGAGTTCCCCTATTTGTCCCAGCTAACTGACAGAAAATATAAACCACAATACAAACCAGCACTTTCCTTCCACAAAAGAAATCAAGGTCATTTGGCAAATATGGATAGTTTTGTCTGGACTACATTTTTAGCAAACATAATGTATATTTTCTCAATTAATATATACAATTTTCCTACTTTCTTGTACTTTCTTCCACATACTGTGTTGTGGTTGCTAGTGCATTCAAAAACAGATATGCTTACCTCCAAATATGTATTTTAGAAAGACATATAAAATACATAACGTTTAGGGAAAGTTGTATACAAAAATAAATGTGAATTATAGAACAGTTTTAAGAAGAAACGAGGAATAGAAAAATTGGATGGATTGTTAATAAAGCTGTTATTAGGGTTGTTATTAATAGTCTTTGAATTTACAAAGTTGATAAGAAACAGTAACTTATTTGGAATTGTACATTGTAAGTGATCCATCACAGAAGACCAATTTTATTTCAGGATTCAGGCCCATCTGACCTTATTGTTCTTATCATTGCAGATTCTCTAGTAAACTTCCCATCTTTGCCAAAATACAGTTTATTATCCATCCATTATAGTGCAACATCTTCAATACTAAAGTTGCTGATTAAAAAAAATGGCAAAATTTTAGATTGTTGTCAGTCTGGGTAGTAATCTACCCAGACTGTTATCTGCCTAGTTTGACAAAATTGCACAAGACCTTTGTACCATGGTTCGTTTTAATACCAATTTGCTCAATAAGTAATGATGGCTGCATTCACATAGAATACCAAAGCATAAATTATGGTTCATAGACCAAAATGATTGGCTTCATAGATCACATTAAGCCACAATATTATTACTTTATGTATCATGCATAAAACCAGCCCTAGGGCATCAGCTAGGCTATCTGAGCAGAAATAGTTTATTGAATGCGAATCTGCATCGCAAAGGCACATGTGATGAAGTCATGTGAATTTTCTCACCGGAACCAGATCCAGCTTTTGGGATGGGGGGAGGAGTTGGGGGATGGAGAGGGAAGATAGTCTTTTGCTTATGGCCAAGTCATACTATAGGTTTCACCAAGCACATAGTTTAATTCAGGCCAAGAAAGACGCTGTTTCATATTATTGCAAAACAAGCTGCTTTATGCTGGTGTGCATTACACCCAAATGAAAAAGCTTATTACATAGGAAAGATCCTTAGCTGCTTTTTAGTGTTCTATATGTTTTGTTTATTTTGAAGCTTATTGTACTAGGAAAAGGCAAAGCAGGCAGCAGAAAGCCATTATGTCTTATTAATGGGAAACCTACTGAGTTGCTTCCAGTAATTATTACTTCTGCTCCTCTAAAGGCGTTATCATCAGTGGCAAGCTAACATTTTTGGCAACAAAGCTAGATTTGATATTTTCTTCTACCCATTTTTTTTTTAAAAAAAATACTCAGCAACCATGAGATGATAGCTGGGAAAGTACTGTATAATATTTCAAAGCACACTTGCTTGTTTTGCAAATTCCTACTTTCCCTTTACTATGAACACTAGAGGGAACAGCAGGAAACCATTTCTGGCTACTCCACCATAGTCAGTATCCAAGAGACAGTGAATGAGAAACTCTACAGTACACTCATTCATAGGCTGATGAGCATGAAGGGCACTGAAAGGTTTAAAGGGCCCTAGTTCCAACCAATCCAAGAGGAAATTGTGCAAATAGAAAACTAAGTTCCAGTGGCAGACATGATGGAACTTATAACCTGATTATACAAAATCTCCATGAAAACACTTTTGTTTATCCCTCTCTTGAAGGAAAAGTCACCCATTAAAAAAAAAAACAAGCTGCAAGTAATCATGTGGCTGCTTAGGAACCAGCTTTGTGCTGTTATTTAAATGATGCCTGGAAAAAAAAAAGAGAAACATAATAAAGTGATTTATTCTCATGATCTGTATCTGTTTAATGGGTTCTGCGTTTGAAGCTTAGGATGTCAGCAACTGAAAGAGTGAGATGGAGAGATCTCTCTGCACTCTGGAGCAAACACTAACAATGTACTTTTTAAAAACAGAAGTTACCTTCTCTGTGAGTGCAACACAAACTGTTCACTCCACTACAAATAATGGAGTTATACACCCAAAAATTCAATTGGATCTCCGAAAGGTTAAAGTTTACATATCTTGACAGAAATGAACAACAAAACTCAATTAACCAAATGACCAAACTGTTACATTCACCGTCGTTTTCTAGGGAAATGGCTCATTTTGTTATATTACAAATGGAATATTTGCAGCCTGTGTGTAACTCTACACTCTTCTCCTTCTAGCCAATAATGCTCATTTTCTTTTCCCTTTCAAATGGCTTTGTGATCTTATGAAGAAGTCACTCCTCCTTTGTGGAGTCTGCCCAAAAGCAGTAATCTTATTTCAAGTCCTAATAATAGTGTGGATATGCATAATGGTTAAGTTCTCACTGTCAACATGGCTATAAGCCTTTTGCACGTTGTTTGTACAATAGGTTTCCCAAGTGCCTCCAGACGCAAATGCCAAGAGGAAAGCTATTCCTGCTTCCCAGCAACAGGCAGACGTAGAAACTTCCGTTATCAGACATTGTCTCTGGTCTCTGAAGACACATTCGGAAATATGTTGCTCCCTTGTGATGCATTGCTTAATTGGGATTTGGTTTTCATTAAGAACTGGGCCCTCCTGTACATAATTCTCTCTTGCTCTTGCTTTAGCTCAATGTATGAACGAGAAAATGTGTGGAAGATGGAAGTGACAGGAAAGGCCATGAGAAGGATGCCACTCAAGATGCTGCTCAGAGCCACCACTTGGCCTGGGATGCTTCTAGGTACCATATCGCCGTAGCCCACTGTTGTCATGGTGATAACGGCCCACCAATAGCAAGCAGGGATACTGGTGAACTCCTGAGAGTCTGCCATCTCGTTTTCAATCACATACAAGAGGGGAGCAAAAAGTGCAATGGCTACACAAAGGAACAGCAGCAATAGTCCAAATTCACGTGTGCACCTACGAGCTGTGAGTCCCAGGGTCTGCAGACCTAGTGAATGCCTGGCGAGCCGCATGACATAGAGAATCCTCAAGGCACGGAGTATACGGAGCACCAGGCCTACCTTATCCAGGTAGATGTTGCCAGAGCTTGGCTTTTTATTACTACTCACTGAAGCACTGTCTAGTAGCAAAGTGATATAATAGGGCAGGATGGCAATTATATCAATTAATGTCAGAGGGTGCCGCAGAAACACAAATTTGCTTGGTGCCTGGATGAATCTCAAGAGGAATTCCAAGGAAAACCATCCGACGCAGACTGATTCCACAATGAAAATGTTGTAGCACATTTGAGAACATTCACCCTGGAGTAGGAGGGAAGGTGACACCGTATGAGCATCATGTCACTTGGCAAATGTCACAGAAACAGTTCACAAAGAACAGAAAAATTATCCAACTGCCGCAAACCAAGGCATACTTAGGTCAGTGGAGTGTCAATTATTTCTTACATGGTCTGTGAAAAAAAACATGATAGCAAATTTGACTGTTGCAAATACAATGGACAGATGACATCTACTCCCTTCCCTCCCTCCAGCAGAACAGGGGCCAGGCAGCCTATAATATAGAGCAGGAATTACAAGAAGAGGTGTAAAAGGGTTTGAATATTATTTCTACATAGGCAATTTGCTCTTAAAACAGAGTAGTCGCTAGAATTCTTCTTTTTTACTTTACTTCAACAAACATTACATACCAGCGAGATTGTCTGGTTGGCTGTATTCCTGTCTCTGTAGTAAGATAAGTAGTTTATTTCATCATATTTTCCAGAAACAGAGCTCATCGTGAATTTAAAACAATCTCCCTGCCAAAAAGCAGTTTAGAATGCAACAAAAATTCAAACAACAAAACCAAACCACCCCATCTTATTTACTTCCCTTCTCAACAAATGAATCTACAGTGATTCTCCCATTCTAAAATAGCATTAAGTGGGGATAGAGAATTTAGTTTTTCCAGTAAATGCAGTAATTCTGTATGACATCTTTGCTACAGGGTGCTTTCTAACAATCGTGGCAGATCCCCTCATATTTCTCTGATTTTATCCAATTCAAACAAGTAGAATTGTTTGGATCTTTTCTCCATTTATATTTTCCTGATTCCCCTGGAAAGACTGTTTTTAATATTCAGAAAATAATTCCAATCCAAGATTTTACTTTTTTCTTAGACCACTACATCCTTTCAAGAAAATTTACTACACACTACCTTATTCCTTACTATAATTTAGCTACACTATGTGTTAATTAATAGTAATAACACTTAGACTTACACGCTCCTTCACAGTGCTTTACAGCCCTCTCTAAGTGGTTTACAGAGTCAGACTATTGCCCCCCAATAATCTGGGTCCTCATTTTACCAAACTCGGAAGGATGGAAGGCTGAGTCAACCTTGAGCGAGAATTGAACTGCTGAACTGCTGGCAGCTGGCAGTCAGCAGAAGTAGCCTGCAGTACTGCATTATAACCACTGCACTACCACAGCTCCTCTTATGCATATCTCCATTCCCTCACTTCCAATCCCCGTCTATTGGAAATAAAATTTAAATTAGATTGAAAATTCCTTTGAAGACCAGTCACATTTGTCCTTGTATAGTGCAACAGGCAAAATAAACAACTGGGTCTAGCAACAAATATCCAGCACCAAAATTAGCAAAATATGTTACAGTACATGCTGAATACAGTAGGAAAAAAGCACAATACTTCAGTTTCTATTGTACCATTTCTCTAAGAAGCTTAAAACTGCATCAATGAGTCATCCTTCATTTTACAATCCCAATAACTTTGTGACAGATTAGGCTGAGATAAAGTGACTGGCCCAAACTCAAAATCCAAAATTCTTTGTTATTTGCAAACCCTCTTTAATGTTAAAATATATATTAATATTGATGTTACATCCCTTGAATTCTTCTAGCAGCATTTATTAATGCAGAATACTTTAAGCAACCTTGGTATGTTAATGTTTACTAATCTTATTGTTTCTAACACTCTTATATATAATATTGAATGTGAAATATGAAAAATGCTATCAGACAAAATGCTAAAATCCATAATTTATATTGATGGATAGAAGCAAACTCTTCATTCTGTTTTTAAGGCTTTATTAAATGAGCTGCATTCTTTTAAAAAAGCAGTTCTGAATGAACTCTCCTTCAGGATGCATGTTGGCTTCGCTTTGGCCTTGCTCTTCTATCAAATGCTCCAAAACAGCCCCAGCATTTCAGGTGAGGATTTCTAGTATTCCACTGAATGGCAGTTAAGTACTTCTATTATCAACACACCTGAATCAAGGTGAGAACCGTGAAGCAAAAGTGGAAACCAAAACTCAGTTCAAAAGAAGTACATTCCCCAGGGAAGTGGGGGAGAAAAGAGGTAGCCCACCACAAAAATGCACACTTGCACCTATTGTAAATCTATCCACATTCATCTAATAGATAAGTAGTCCTCAACTTAACAATAGTTCATTTAGTGACTGTTTTAGCCCCTCGGCCCTTAATCATCTTTGTTGGTCTCCTCTACACTCTTTCCAAGGTGTCTATGTTTTTTTATTTCATGGTGACCAAAACTGGATGCTATATTCTAGGTGTGGCCTTACTAAGGCTTTATAGAGCTGTATTAACACTTCACATGATCTTGATTCTATCCCTCTATTAATGCAACCTAGGATTGCATTGGCTTTTTTGGCTGCTGCCACACACTGCTGGCTCATATTTAGTTGATTGTCCACTAGCACTCCGAGGTCCCTTTCACAGTTACTATGACCAACGTCATTGCTTGCACAAAAAGAGGATTCAAAGGGTGAGCAACACTTTTATTCCCCGCAAAGAGAATAATTCCAGATAATGAGATAATTTCAGGTAACTGCCTTCCCCCCCCTCCCCCTGACAACTTACGCGTTCCTCTTCTTCTCGTAACCCAGGCATGGTGCTGATAGACAGATTAACTGCTGTGATTGTCACAAAGAGGACCGATAAACAGGCAAACACTTTCCCCGGGATACCTGACTGAGGCTTCTCCACCATGTCCTGTAACCTTTTCATGCACCGGCTGGCTTTTGGCTCTGCTGTTTCAGAGGGGTTTTCGCAATCAGTGAACTCGTCCTCTGGTTCGTTCATTTCTGCAAATTCCTCCATCTTCTGGAGGTATCTTCTCTTGCAGCACCACTCTAGGCTGTTCTCCTCAATGCCCCAGTAAAGCAGCTCTTCCTGGAAGGAGAGGGCGCACATCTCCCTCAAGAGCCGGAGCTTCCCTGCCTGCAGAAAAGTCAAGATGGTCCTAAATGCTCCTGGGTTGCGATCAAAGAAGAACTCGTTGCAAGTCACATCATAATCGTCACAAATATTGAGGATATCATCAAAATTGTTGCAGAATTTTAGCTGTCCCAAGCGAGTCATGGGGAACTCATCAAGAGTGGTCCAGGGGAGCAAGTATTTAAAGCCACCCACGTTAATGATGATATGGTGTTTCCTTTCTTCTGGGCAAACACTTTCATAGAGGTCTTTGCCAGGGTGGAGACGCTTGGCTCTTTGGTAGAAGACCCCTTTGAGAGTTTCTCTTTCAGCAAAGAAAGGGTGGTTGAAGGAGGCTTCTGAAGCACAGCTGAGGGCACTGTAGTCATAGTCTGAATTTTCTCCTGGGAGAAGAGTCATCTTGATCACCGGCTTACTTCACATCACTTTAGGGCTCCAGTTACAAATTTCTAAAATGAAGGGGGAAAAACAAAGTATCAGTTCATGTCTGTACCTCATACGATGTTGGGTATTGGGGAAGGGGGGGAAATAATCTGCATGGGATTTGCACAAGAACCAAAAAATAAAAATTAAACAATGGAAACAGCCAACTATTGGAAATTTCTACATCCTCCTTCCAGTTATTGTTATTGTTGCTTATTGAAATCTCGCAAGGCCTCATGTAAAAGTCATGAAGATTCGTGATTCATGAGATTCCACCTATTTTTATTATTCTATTTGGAGTTCATGGATACTTTGGGGGATTATGGAAACTCTGGCACCACCATTGCAATCTGGCAGATCACTGATATACGCGTAGTATGAAATGGAAATAATTTATAGAGGTAAAAGAAGTCTTTGCAGACTTTACTCCGCTAGTTGTTGGTGACTCTAGGGGGCAGTGCTCATCTCACTTTCAATTGAGTCAGCGCTGTCTGAAGACATTTCTGTGGTCATATGGCCAGCATGATGTCATGGAATGCTGTTACCTTCCCACCGAAGTGGTACCTATTTATCTACTCGCATTTGCATGTTTTCGAACTGCTAGGTTGGCAGGAGCTGGAGTGACGACGGGAGCTCACCCTGTCATGTGGTGCTCAGTTCTCAAACCTGGGTTGCTGGCTTTCTAGCTGACAAGGCCAGTGTCTTAACAACTGAGCCACCATGCCGCTCCATTTATAAGAGCATGAAGATAAAATTATATAAAATATTTGATATGGGAATGGATCTAGGGGAAGGAAAGAATGCTGGAAAAGTAGCAAATATATGCAGGAGTCAAATCTACATTCTTGGTGGAACATCTCTTTTAAGATGTAATCTGGGGCTGTACAATGCAGATGCCAGGCTAGGAGAGTAGCTAATAGCACATAGAAGAGGTATGTCACTAATAAATCTTGTTTCTAGATTTAGAGCCCGTAATTCATGTATTAGTGAATAAAGTCACTAATGCAGGCTGATTATATTACTCATTAATTCTTGCTAGGTTCACTAGGGAGAGAAGTCTGGGGGAGAAGTCTCTGCAGAACCTTTTCCCTCAATCACACAATTTCTTATGGTGAAATTTACTGTGTATTGTACAATATTCAAGGTATGATGCTATTTTCTATTCTACAAATTTCTGGGTGCAGAAACTAATTGTATGGGGGGAAATCTAGGACAGAGTACTATTAGTCCTAAAACAATAAATTGATCATGGTTGTACACCAAGGTTATTCAAATTCTGTGATCAGTATACATCCTCCTATTTAAGTAAAACTACATATAGTAAGTTGACTTTTTAAAACATTTTGCAAATCTTATTATGATACATCATTGGTTCTATCTGTCATGAGGAGGGAGACGAATACTGATTGACCCTTAGAAATCTCATTTAGTAATTCTTCTGACATTTTACAAAGTGTTGTTTCCATAATTTAAATACAACTCTGCAAAACTACTATTTTTAAAAGTAATCAAAGATTATCAAAAAGATAAATAGTTCTTCTATACAAATACAGAAATACAGACTTATGAACATTAATTGGGAAATATAAATCATGGGACTTTCTTCAAGAAAAAACAAAGTCCAGTTGCCTCGTGAAAAAGCACCTTTGGGATAACTATGACCTGAATGAATGAGAAACTCCATAGGCATAAAACGTGGGACATGTTATTTGAAAGATACTTATTAATTTTTCAGAGCTGCTGCTGCACAGTGCTGGCTCATATTTAATATTTATAACAATATTTTTAACAACAAAGCTAATCTTACTTTGCATTTTATTTATTTTATTAACTCCTAATTTTTTTCTTAATGAGGCCAAGCATAAACATTAATTTTGCTTTCTATGTGCTTATACAATGTTATATTTCCATGCCGATCTTCTCAACATGTGGGAACTCTGTTCAGTTTCAATTCTGGTTTGATTTAAGACTCTTGATAATAAGTGAATGGATGTTCTTAATAGGCAATGTTCCATATGTTTTGCGCTCTAAAAATAGCAAGTGTTAAGGCTACCAATGATGCATTCTCTATGGTTTGTCTATAGCAGTGCAGCTCATTGGGCAATTCTATTTCTGCTATCCTTCTAATTTTGTATACTGCTAAAAAGTCCACAATCCAATGTAATCAATTCTGCCAGTGAGAAGTCAATACCAAATTTGCCTTGGACTTTGAAGAAACAAGATAGATAAAGAACTGATGCTTCTGAACCTTGGTGTTGGAGAAGACTTCTGACAAAACAAACGATGCATCATGAAACAAACCAATCCAGAATGTTTACTTGAAGCATACATAACCAAAGTTCAATTATCCTATTTTGAACTTGTTTTACATTTTGAATCTGTTGCACTGTTCTTTTATCATCTGCCAACTTTCGCTTTAAAGGTTGATGGGGATATATTTTAAAATGGCATTGTAATAAAACTCTTGAAAGTTTTCAAAACAAACTTGGCAGTTTTAAAGTCTTTGGCTGGGTCTCGCATCTTTGCTACTTTTATCTTCATCTGCCAAAAATGAAGCAGCTTCAGACATGTTGAAGTTTTCCCATCACAGACTATGGATTGAATCTTGAAGGCAGGTAAACGCTATCAGGTGGATACTGAATCCCAAATAATAAACTTGAATAGAGCCTTGCTCTTGAAACACAAACCTCCAGCTGGAATCAGATCAGGGTTGATTTACCCAGACCTACTTTGTTTAATTTGAGGTTATATTTACCACGAACCCCCCCCCCCCCCGAAAGACAGCATATACATTTCTTAAATAAGTACATTAAAACAGTAATATACTCAAAAACTGCAGACTTTTTTTTAAAAGACTGGAAGCCATATAGGGACTTTTTGCTGAAAGAAAAAAAAGACTGAACTGATGTCTTATGGATTTTGGATTTAGAAGGATGAAGGAAGGAGAAGAAAAAGATGGCAATTACTCAACACAAAGAAAGGCTGGATTCAAAATTCTATAGGGCTTTCTTCTGTTTTCATTTTTTTTCTTATTTCCTATCTTTTTATTGTTCTTTTCATTTTTTATGCTTTTATTGTACTGTAAAATTCTAGTAAAAAATTAAAAAAGAAAAAAGAAACAGTAATATTCTCAGCCTTTGCATGGTTGTCAGTATCTTTTGGAAATGGTGCAGAATAATTGGGCAATTGACCAAATAGGGTTCTTCATGTTACCAATATGAGAATAAATGTACGTATGAATATACATTCCCTGTTTATTTGTTAAATTTATTTGCTGTCTAACTTACTGTGGGACTACTCTAGGCAGCTTACAACATGTCTACATATCATGTACAGCATGAAGGCACTATTTGCCATTCAACTCTTCTTACTTTGTCAGTTTTTAAGGTACACTTGACATTCAGCTTAGATTAGTTTGTGGAAGAGATCCAGAAAGTCAAGTCTGGGAAACTTGTAACACACAGAGTTGCTTCCAGTTTAGCGATGACCTTTCTCTTCTTTCAAAACCAGCAAGGGTTCTGTTTAAGTGCCATTTAAACTTAATGAATTAAGAGCTCCTGATGCGAGGTAGGTCAGCAAGAATGAAGACATATATTTATAGCTTATTAATATTTGAAGATAGTACTGCACTGTCTCTTGACCTTACTATATTCCAATGTTTCTCTGATTTGGTCTCTGGGACCCTCTTCAGCTTTGTCCAACCTCTTGTGGTCAGTTTTCTTAACATCCTTCTTATAAGTGGCATCTTAAACTGGTTATTAGTCCTGGTGGACTGGCCAAGGCAGAAGAGAGGTAGAGGGGTATTTTACAGTGGAGAGAGCAAGAGACGGGATGATAAGAGATGCATATTTCTATTACAGAAGGAAGTAAATGAATGTTGTGGGATAGACATTGGGCCAGAGTTTTAGAGTCTGCTACAACTGAGGAGGAGGGAGGGTGCATGTGTTCGTGTCCCCCCCCCCCCCCCATCTTCTCTGTCCTTCTTTCCATGGTTCACAGCCTGCTTTGCTTCATGGTCCACAGACAACCTCTTGAGGGAGTATTTTTCTCTCTGGATCATGTTGCCAAGATTTAACAGAGCAGATTGTTAGCAAAATTTGGAAGGCTATCACTATTGTATCTGGTATTTGAGGAAATATTTTGTTTTCTTGCTCCCACTTGGGAGTAGAAAAGGCTCTACTCTGCTGAGCAAACCTCTCTGCTGACTTTCCAGAAATGTCCAATGTGGTTTTCTTGGTAACAATATGGCAGTGTTTTACCAGCAGAATGTTCCAGATGTTCTTTCTACTTCCCAGTCTAGCCTACCACTCTGATGGGTCCCACCCAGAACAAATCAAGTCCAAATCTAATTCAGTTTTACAAAGACAGCCAGGATTGGCTTGATATCACCAAATAGGAGGAAATTGCAACTCCATGATGCTACCCAAAAATTCTATGAATATAATCATTAGGAATTTAAGTCAAGCACCCCATTTTGATATTATTACTTCTCCACTTGATTTTATTTGTGGCTACTGTCCTATCCAGTAGTATCTTTCTTCTCTAGGAAGCAACACATCTGTTTTTTTATAATGTCTTTTAGATATATTACAATATGATGTGAACAACATGGCTTGATCTGTATAGTGCACATATCAGTAGCAGACTTGATTCCTTCAAGAAAAAGGTGCAGGATCCCGAAACCATTGGATAACTGCTTTACTGCTTCCTATTCATTTTTAATTTCTCAAGGTACACCAGCCTTCACCTTGAAAACAAGGATGGGGGGAAAACTGGAGAAAAAAAAATCAGCTTTCTGCCACCTTTCTTCTGATGACTTAGCTCTAATATTGTGCAGGAACAAGGTGATGATATAGATCAACCAATCTTCTAGTGCAAGGACATTTGGGGATGGAGAAGTAGCCAGTCATACAAAAGCTTCTGAAATACTAACCAGAAATAAGGGAAATTGGCAGACCATAGCTAGATGTGGCTTG